GAACTAAACTAAACTAAACTAAACTAAACTAAACCAAACCAAAAACTAAACTGAACTAAACTAAACTAAACTAAACTAAATCAAACTAAACTAAACTAAACTAAACCAAAAACTAAACTAAACCAAAAACTAAACTAAACTAAACTAAACTAAACTAAACTAAACTAAATCAAACTAAACTAAACTAAACTAAACTAAACTAAACTAAACCAAAAACTAAACTAAACCAAAAACTAAACTAAACTAAACTAAACTAAACCAAACTTGAAAAATACATAAAACCCCCAGTTTAAAAATAAAAATAAATGGTTACACAACAGTTACAATGTAAGGACATACTGTGTGGTCTTAAATCAGATCCATATAATTTCCTGCCTGCCCAGGGCATGTAAAACACACATTTGAGCAGGTTCATGTGTTCAGATCAAGGTTATATTAGTTTGGGATTTTTCATTATAGTTTAGTTTTATTTAGTTATGACATGCTCAGTTGGTAGAGCTGATGCCTCTCAGCAAGAAGGATGCCGGTTCAAATCCCAGCCTTTGGGACTTTTCTGGGTAGAGTTTACATGTTCTCTCTGTGCATTCGTGGGTTTTCTCCGGGTACTACGGCTTCCTCCAAAAACATGACTATTGGGTTAACTGATAACTTTAAAGTGTCCCTAGGTGTGAGTGAGAAAGTGAATGGTTGTTTGTCTCGTTTGTCTCTATGTGTCTCTGTGATGGACTTGCAACCTGTCCAGGGTGTACCCCGCCCCTCACACTGTGACTGCTGGATATGGGCACCAGTGACCCTGAAAGGAAGAAACGGGTATAGATAATGGATGGATGGATGGATAGTTGTGACATTTTTTCTTTTATTTCAGTTAGTTTTAATTCATTTTTAATCGTGGATTTGCTCGTTTTTATTAGTCATTATTGCTTTTTAATGCTTAGTTTTAGTTTAGTTTTTCTAGTATTATTTGCCAATGTAACCTGAAGTGTTCCTGTGAGTTAACTAACTAACTAATGTGAATGAAGATGGCGGCGGTGGCGGCAGATGTATGTAGCTGTGCAGTATCGCTGGAGGAAAATACATCCCATTTGGCTTTACAGGCATCTGCAGGTCTGTTTTTGACCAAATTTACCTCAGCTTTAGTGTTGCTGTTACTCTGTATGCTACATAAA